ATACCTTCCTTGTTGTTTGGCTGTCATCAACAAAGATGATATAAAAATGTACAGAAACTGATTTTTGCATTTTTTTTGTGAAGTATGATGTAAGTAACGGACATATTTTCAGACTATTGCTTTTTCTTGTAGGACCTGAACGTTTAAGTGACCTTCCTGTGAAATGATAATACCAGCTGTGGCCTCAAGCCAGTTTGAGTTTGCACTTTGTAAAATGTTCATCTACAAAGTAACTACAGCAGTCAGTTAAATGAATAAAAAGTACCACACCTGAAAAGTATCAGAAAATGGAAATACTCCAGTTAGGTATGTATAGTTACTTAACACCCCCAGTAATATGTGGAAAAATGAAAAACTGTCAAAGCATTTGTTTCACTTGCTCTTATTAAACTTCAGTTAATTTCCCTTTAGCAATATGATGCACTGCAGCTCACTGTATCTGCAGAGAGGCCATCAGTCAGTGGGTGGCGCTCTCCTCCAAACACAGCCCTGTGTCCTCTGGCGTGTTACAGCCAGAACACCAGTGAATGCCTAATGCGCTAACAAAGACAATGACACTCAGAGGGTGCCGGCCATTAATCCACTTAGACTTTTTGCCGTGTGCATTTCCACGATTACAGGGGCGGGTCAAATTCCATTAACCGTGAGGTTTGAGTTTTTTTGCCTGAAGACAGGCAGGCCAATGGCGGGTTACCATTCTAACCACAGGCATAAACAGGACTTGCTTTTATTTCACAAAACTCGAGAGTCTTTCTTCTCACAGAGGAACGTTTGTTTGACAATCTGCTGTGGGTGAGATTAGTGCAGCATACGCATGTGTATGGCCTTTTTCAGTAAGACTGGATGGAGATCAGATAGCTGTTCTCCATATGTTGCTCTAGTTAATGATGAAGGGGACGAGGCACGGAGCTGCGGGTGTAGGGGTGTTTGGATGGGTGAGAGTCAAGGTTGTGATTTCCACTGGGTGATATGACATTCTCTGATTAAAAAACCCTTCAGGTTCCATCACTTCAAATGTTAAAGGATTCAAAAATTCCCCACTGTAAAACCTGATGAGTTAATTCAAAACTGTTTGAGGACACTGGGTGATCATTAAGAATTATTTGGATGCATTCTTTGGTATATGATGATTAATAAACTGAAATAAATACAAAAATCTAAGTTATACAGCATTATGATGCTTACATTTTTCTAACAAATTAAAATTATATCACAATACTCAAAACTACTGAGTTGTGAATGAGGGACTCCAATTTGTTTGGAGGATTAATTTATGTTAACTTTCTTTTTTTAAGCTGTGTTGTCAGGTTTTACATTGTATTTTCCCAAAGGTGTTTAGATAATTCACATCATTTTCATTCTCATCAACCCATTTGATGTGCTATGTGAAAGCATCTGCATTTGTCATGTTTCGCCACACATTCATTCAGGGTTTTCCTCATAATGTGTCACCCTTCATATACGTACTAGTGCTGTCAAAATTAACAAGTTCATTTTTGTAACATGTAAAATATGCAGCTGTTTTGTTTAGTTCCTGTGGCCGCCTGTGACCAACGATGATGTCTGTCACCAACAATGGAATTTTAGGCGTAAAATGCCACTTTTAAAAAGTTGCCTAAATGCCACTTTTAAAAAGTTGCCTAACAGATCTTTGGAGAAAGCAAAAGTAAACTGCACAGTCCACCTGTAGGCTCCGGTTAGGAGGATTAAGGTGTTTGCTCATTGCTCCCCAATATCTCTATGTAAACATATCTGCAGGGAGAAAATCTAACTACGTTGTGCTGCTGCTAGGGTTGCATGATATATTTAAAACATCATATTGCAATTATTTGGACATACACTGATCAGCCATAACATTATGGGCACTGACTGGTGAAGCGAATAACACTGATTATCTGGTTATCATAGCACCTGTCAGTGGGTGGGATATATTAATTCAATTTTCAATTACATTTTATTTGTATAGCACCAATTCAAACAGGAGTCATCTCAGGACACTTTTCAAATGGAGCAGGTCTAGACCATACTCCTTATAAAATTAGGCAGTATGTGAACTTTTGGTCCTCAAAGTTGATGTGTTAGAAGCAGGAAAAATGGGCAGCATGAGAATTTGAGCGACTTTGACAAGGGCCACATTATGATGGCCAGACGACTGGGTCAGAGCATCCCCAAACCTGCAGCTCTTGTGGGGTGTTCCTGGTCTGCAGTGGTTAGTACTCATCAAAAGTGGTCCAAGGAAGGAAAAGTACCAGAGACAGGGCCATTGGTGGCCAAGGCTCATTGATGTACGTGGGGAGTGAAGGATGACCAATGTGGTCCGATCCAACAGACGAGCTACTGTAGCTCAAACTGCTGAAACAGTTAATGCTGGTTCTGATAGAAAGGTGTCAGAACACACTGTGCATCACAGTTTGTTGGTATGGGCTGCAGAACACAGATCAACCATAACATTCTGACCACATGGGTGCCCAGGTGCACAGAATGTTATGGCTGATCTGTGTATGTTCAGATATGATTCACAACTAGTGGGGGAATGTTCATTTTTGCATCACAAATTTAATTCAGTGAAAAAAACTATTCAAATTAATAATTAATTATGTGACATTTGTTGGGGTCAGACCCAAACAAACATGGTTTTTTACACCTGGAGAAAAATATCTGTAGCCCTGGGCATCTCTTCAGTTCTTTATTAGTATGTGTTTTTGTCACACACTTTGTCTTTATCAAAATTAATTTTGCATATTGCGATTTCGATAATATTTCATTATTATTATTAATTATCGGCCCTAACTGCTGCAATAAACATTTCAAACATAAGTTGTCTGACTGACTTAGACAATTGACCTTGTAATGAGACTGTTTTGTTCATTGAGGATATTTCTGATCTTTCTGAAGGGATTTCTCTTTAACACTGACCACTTTCATGTTAACCTTACAAGTACTTGCTTTATTCAGACAGCATTTCAGTCAATAGACCCTGACAGAGGAAACAAAAGCTCGGTCAATAGACATCCACAAAGAAAATGATAGTTCAGTCAATAAAATAGGCCCTCATCAAGAAAGCTTGAGGTCGGTTCTTGCAGTCTGCAAGGATGGTGCTTTCTTTTGGACATCAAATTGCAGGAAATTTACTAGAGATTGTTATGTTTTTGAGTGCTGTTTTACTGCTTAAATAGACTTTCTGTGTTTTTACCCGTGGAACTGGCCCTTGTCAGGGTATAAAAGCCTTGAGACAGACGACCACCCACCTAGAGCCGGAGGATCTGTCCTAGGTTTCTGCCTTTTAACAGGCAGTTTTTCCTTGCCCTTGTCGCCAAGTGCTTGCTCATGGTGGTACTGTTGGGTCTCTGTAATTAATGTTAAAGAGTTCGGTCTAGACCTGCTCTATTTGAAAAGTGTCCTGAGTTAACTTCTGTTATGAATTGGCGCTATACAAATAAAATTGAATTGAATTGAATTGGAATCAGCACATTAAAAACATATATAGAAACTATTCACCATTTTTGCATATGTGTTTTGAAAGTCATACAAATCTATTCATTTTAAAGTTTATCACAGGCAACAAGAGAAAACTGTTGCAACTGCAAAAAATACTGTTCAAAACCAAAGCCTATACTTAATGAGCTCTAAAAGTCCCCATTACATTGTTGAATCAGGAAGCCTCCTGACTGTTTTCTGGAACAATCTTTGAAAAACACAGAGAGCTTCTGAATAACACAAAGAATTGTACTGGATGTAATTTGCATCAGTCGGAGGCACTGGATGTGTTGTTTGCATCCAGCATCAATACTGCTGGAGGAAAACGGGCAGTTAAAAATAAAAGCAGCCAAGCATTGTCAGTAAGTTTCCAAGGCGATCATAAAAAATGTTCAATAGAATTGATGACATGCCAGCCAACACAGTGGGATGTAATGCATTTTAAACAGATGCAATCATCTTAGATTGGCCACTTTGTCATCAGCTTTGAATCTGGTAATTGCTGGCAGCTCAACTAAAAAAGAATAATCAATATGAAAGAGGGCGATGAAACAAAGAGAAAATAAGCACTTTTTTTGCAAGCAGAGATAAATGTAACCCTTGCAATGAGATGAACCACCAAGTACCCCTGACTCCACCCCTAACCCAATGAAAGTGTAGGAGCTACTGGGAGGTGTCAGTGGTGCAGGAAGTATTCGGACTCAAGTCAGATTCAAGTCACAAATTTGATGACTTTAGACTTGACATGACAAAATCAAAGAAGACTTGCAACTCGATCTACAACCAGTGTTGGGTTTGTCCTTCTGGGCTACTGTAGAAACTTAGTGGTTGAACATGGCGGATTCCACAGAAGGTGGCCTAAGGTAACGAAAACACAACAGTTCTTATTTTGAGGTCATTATACACTCACGAAAACATAGCTATAAAAATGATATTCCATTTCTGACAATAGATCCTCCTAACAGTTACACACTGGACTGGAAATTGACCTTTAATTAATTTGCTAGCTCTTTTATTGGATCAAATGTCAGAAAAAAAGGAAATGTCCATCACAATTATCCAGAGCTGAAGCTGACACTTTCACTTTCTTGTTCTGTCCAACCAACAGTCAAAATATTCAGTTTACTGTAATTTAAGACAAGGAAAAGCAGCACACTGTCACATTTGAGATGTTAAACCATGAAATGTTTCCTATTTTTGCATGAAAAATTACTTTTTTTATTTATTTTTTCATAACTGACTAATCAGCTAATTGATTAAATGAATAATCATGTAGGCTTGTGTTGTAGACTGGTAGTTAATGCATCATCATTTTAAAAGTTCTTCATACTGTATGTTGTGAACGTAAAACCTTAATTTGTAACATTTCACTCTCAAATGTAGTGGAGTAAATGTATAAAGAGTGATGGAAGACTCAAGTAAAGTAAAGATACCTCAAACTTGTAAAAGTGAGTAAATATACTTAGTGGTGTGTGTGTGTGTGTGTGTGTGTGTGTGTGTGTGTGTGTGTGTTTGTTACTCACAGACTCTGCCGTAACTCTGCTGTATCTCTAGATGTCCCCAGTGACTGAAGATTCTTCTCTAGTGTAACAACTGGAGGCACAGTTGAACAATACAAACATTAAGAGTGCGTACTCGACTCACAAACACACTCATGCACTTAAAGAAAATTTTCCATTACCCTAGTGTGATACTATTTCAAGTCCTAATTAAACTCAAATCTTGATTTTAAATAACTTAAATTATTCTGTTTATACAGAGTTATCCTGTTTTTATCTCTGTTAAAATAGCCATTACTGAAGGAAGAAGGAAAAAAATAAGAAAACACCAGTATTACAGGTGATTCCAACCTTTTGGTCAGTGGTGAATCTTAAAAGTATATAACCATAAATCTTAGCACTACTTCTACTGTTAACACTAGACCAAAGCTGGACCTAACCTATGACCTAAACTTATCCTAAATTTAAACCTAGTTTTAATACTCTTCTGGACTCCAACCTCAAGCTCTGACCTTAAGCCAACCATAGGTCTATTTAAGTTTACCATAAACCCAAGACCCACTGCTAAACTAAACAACTTAAATTTAAACCAAGTACTAACAATAGTTTGAACCATAAACTCACCCTTAAGTCATAGCCATCATTTAAAACTAGTACCAAAACTCAGGATTTGATCCCTCAATTTATCCACAAATTCTAAATGTAATACTAATTTTAATCTTAAAGGGGAATTTGGCAACTATTTCAACCTAATAAACCCGTTTAGAAATCATTTGATGGTTAAATGGCCTGTTCCGGTGAAAATGGTGACTTGCCCCGCTCCCCCTAGCATCCCCAGGCGGAAAACCAACCTTGCAACTTTGGGACTACCGTCCCGTTAAGTTGGAAATAGGAAGTATCGTGAGAAGCGAGAACGAGCAAGAAACACGAACTACTTTACGGCAATTCCACATAAACGCACACGCCCCCCTCAATACCGGTTAGCCATGCCGGCTATAAGAACAAGCGACGATGAATGTATTACCCACCTCGGTAGACATTGCTCCACACGAAAAAGTTGCCCAGCAACAAATGCATATCAGCAGCGGCAGAAAGGGGGAGGAGGGGGCCGCAAGTGAGTTTTTTTACGACAGTGTTTTGAAATATACGTCCCAGAGCTGTAGGGGGAGCTCGTTGAGAAAACATGCGACGACAAAAGTGAAAACCAACGAAGAAATGGCTAGAGTTGCCAAGTTCCCCTTTAAACCTAAACCCCATACAAAATGCTAAACTTACTTAATGAGTCTGAACCCTAGATTCATATATCTATGTGTATATTTATATCAAAAAGTATAATGACCAATCAGGATATTCAATTCAATTAAATGTTATTTGTATAGCGCCAATTCATAACAGTTATCTCAGGACACTTTTCAAATAGAGCAGGTCTAGACCGAACTCCTTATAACATTATTTACAGAGACCCAACAGTACCACCATGAGCAAGCACTTGGCGACGGGGGCAAGGAAAAACTGCCTTTTTAAGAGGCAAAAACCTAGGACAGACACTTCGGCTCTAAGTGGGTGGTCGTCTGCCTCTACCAGTTGGGGATATGGGTCTATGGTTAAGATTAGTATAAATGCTCTGTTGAAATTAGGGTTAAGTTTAGTTTGATATCTAAGGTTGAATCTAGGGCTCATTAGCAACAAGTTTAAAGTTAGTTTAGCATTAAAGTTTTGAAATTCCAAAACCAAACCTGGGAAAGGAACTGTTTCCTGACTACCATTTATAAATGGGTTGTTTCTTTGTTTTCAGTTTTTTATTTTCAAAATAAAAAATGGAAAGTGACTTGTTTCGCAATTTTGTTTTTCTCATTTCAAAACAAATATCTGTTGGACCCAAAGTACACTGACCCTGATTCTACAAAAAATCTTGTTCTACTAGTTTTGATCATAACAATACACCCAGAATCTAAACCAGTCTTAACCCTTATGTAAACCAATTACTACTTCTAATCTCATCTAAACCAAACATTAGAGATGAGATTAATCTAAATGTAATCCTAGCACTACCTCTAATTTTACCTAATCTACCAAAATCCAAACCACCCCTAAACTTCATAAAGTCTGACGTACTTTCATCCCTAAACCCAGATCCTAATCTCAGAATTCATTTGATGAGAGCAAGACTGGGTAAAGTGACTGAGTAAAATGTCCTTGGACAAAGGACTCAAAGTATTTACTGTACAGACACAGACAGGGACAGACACACACACACACACACACACACACACACACACACACACACACAGACACAGACACACACACAGTTTTACTGATGAATGCTCTTTTTACCGTTGGCGTTGATCTGGAAGATATTGGAGGAGGTCTCCTGAAACACATCTTGCAGTTCTGAGGGGCTGACCTGTGTGGCTTTGGAGAAAACATGATATCAGCAAACACTTCTCAGTCCAGTGGAGCGTGACACTGCAAGAGCTGACCACACTGTGTAGGGAACAGTGCCATGGAACAGAAACAATATGAATACCTAGGGTTGAACATTTTTAGTGTCTGTCTATCTGGGTGTTTTTCTTTTTTGTCCACTTGATATCTCAAAGGTTAAAAGGGTTAGTCTTGTGGCCAAGAGGAAATTGGCATCATTTTTGGGGGAAGATTATTACCTTGCTAAGCTGTTGGCCAAATGAATGCAACCACATGTATGCTGTTGTAGTACTGTCAATTCTACTTTTGTACTTTATTCTTTTTCTGTATTCTTTTTTTTATCAGAACAGTGGATTTACATAATTTCAACATAATTTAAGCTACACCAAATCAATAATGTTAACAATGGATAAAACTACCATGTGTAGTCAGAAAGGGGTCACTCCTTGTAATAAACCTGGACATAATTTCCATCCAGCTGTGCAGTTTATCTAAGCCATTTGAAACATTTTATTTTTTATTCATCCCTTATTATTGCAGGGATGACCCACTGAGACTGAGGTCTTTATTACAGGGGTGCCCTGCGACAGCTCAAAAACAGGATTAAAAATACAGGAAAACACAATTATGTAGAAAACACTGTATAATTGTGTAGAAAACACAATTATAAAAAAACCTATAAGTCTACCTCTACCCGTATGTGCACGCTTAAAACTGTTGCAAGTGTATTTCTCTAGTAGCTTAATTACTAGTCATACATATTGACAGGTAACTCATTGATTCGACAGCTTTGGCACCATCAGGACCCTTGAGGGAAAACTGGTGACTGACAGCTGGTGGCTTCTTTATGTGTATTTATGCTCTCTGATGTCACAAAGGACTCATGATGAAAGGACAAATTCAAAGCATTTAATGTATTATTAGACTGAAAATCGACCACGTATTCAATAGTGGAGTAAGAGGTTTGTACAGAATTGAAGCTGTTATGTATCACTGTGTCACACACTTTTTAATGGACTTCAGCTCAGCAGACCACAGTGTGAACAGCCTTTGATCGTCTTATTGATCAGGCAAAGTCCCTGACATGTGTACAGGTTACCATGGTCACCACATGTTTTGAAAACAGTACATCACTATAGAAATCAGTTATAAGATGGCTTCCTCAACAGTTCACGACCAGCAAATGGATTAAATAGAAAAATATTTTTGCTTTTGATATGCTAATATCTCCCATCGACATATATAAAGATGGACGACATGACAGTTCTCCAAAAGTGAAGCCAAAACATCTAGATTGCCCCCTGGTGGCTGAGTGCAGTATATGTCTTAAAGTCTGCTGCCTCCATGTTAGCACATGGGACATGGGTCAAACTAGCTCCGAATGACTTCACCAGAGTAAGATGGCAGTGGCCGTATCCGGGAGTGAGCGGAAGTGGAGATACGATGTTCATCTTTTATGTGTCGACAATATTTACTATAACAAAATACTGTAAGTGGTCTGTTAGCTTTCACACTACAAACAAATAATACCAGAGACCCGAGCTCTTTTCAAGCTTAGTCTGGTTGTTTGGTCCCCACCAGAGTTTGACTGACAGCTTTCACATCAGCCCAAATGAAGCCCAATGTTTTGCAAATGCATGCTGATCACAAGTTGGTCTGGATGTATTATTTATACAAGACAGGTGACTTATACAAAAATAACCAAGAAAAAAAAAAGCCATTTGGTGGTAAAAGGGATTCTGCATACTGATGTTGCCTTCACATATAATTCCACTGAAATATTTTCTATCTCACGCAATTTTAGGCAGGTGATGTTTTGGTACTGACAGCATGTAATTTAAGCTACACTTCAAACTTTATGTGCAGGAAAAACCTGTGCATGGACAGCACCATTGTATTTGCCTCTCTGTTGTGGTGACTGCCAATGCAATATTCTCACATCTGCTTTTCTAAAATTCAAACAATCACAAAATGTTAAACGCATCAAGTCGAGCTGACAAAGGGACTTTAAAGAACTGACACATCAAAGTTGCATTAATTACTGACAGGAGATAGTAGGAAATTGACATTTACAGTAATTATAATGAAATACTGTGTATTGTTATTATAATGAATAGATGTGGAAATTGAATGGACATCAAAGGCTGCGGGAGCCTCTAATGTAGAATCTAACTGCAGTGATGATGATAGAGTGGATGAGGAAAATGGCATGGCTCTAAGCCACAGGCTGGCAGCAGTAGTGGTGAGTCTGCTGTATAAGTTATGTGGGCAGCGCCATTTTCCTTTTACAAAAGCACATGTCATTGCAAATGACAGGGAGGGTTAATGGCCAGGAGCCATTACGCCAGGCTGAGATCAACATCACGACCTGGATAAGCTGCACGCACAAGCCATCTCACTCACCCTTTTGTCAAATACTGCACCCAAAAATGACTGCAATTGGCTTTTTTTTCAATGTGGTCAAAATTACTGGGGTATAGATAAAATTTAGAGGTGTGAAAAAGCTCAAAAGTACCTGCGTTTGAGGCGAGGGGGATCAAATATTGGCATGAAAAGAAGAGAGCCAGACGAAGCAGAGCTGGACAATGACACATGCATCCATGGTGTGGGCTGGAGAAAGGACCGCGAGACCGCTACTGTACATCACAAGTCGTTAACTCCTCTCACTGAGCTAGGTAATGAAATGATTGCATGCAGTGAGTCGAGCAGCATTACAAGATTGTGATACATTTGGAAATTAGTCATTTTTCAACCGAGAAACCTTTAGTGCATTTTTAATGTTAACACACACACACACACACACACACACGCTCACACACACACGCTCACGCACACACGCCTTCAACGCACGCTTTGTCCACCTTTCACTTACCATGATATCCAGTGTGCATGCTACAGTGGAGGTGGCCTGGCCTATCAAAAGAAGGGCTTCCAGGATGTGTGTGTGACTAATATATGTCTGCATATTAGGCCTGTAGCAACGCGTCAACGTCAAAAATACGTTATATATACATAATACAAATTTTTGCGTCGACGCTTCGCCACAGCTCTACACACACACGTGGGAGACCAAAACATTGCAGAATGGAGGACGAAACAGCAACCTCCTCACAGAATTCCCAATAAAAGCCCCAATAAAAGAAAAAGTCCTAAAAAAAACAGCTCGCCCTCAATCATCGAAGGTATGGGAATACTTAAAATTTAGTCCCAAACGTAAAGGTGTGGTTATTTGCGCTCTGTGCTGTTGTGCTGTTGTGGTATGCCAACTCCATTTGGCAATGTGGGAGCATCTGGGGCGGAGGCGCCCCGTTGTCGCTCGTGGAGGAGACGGTGGCGGGTGGGTGCTGGCGTTGGCTGGGTTGGTTTCATGTTCGTGTGGTGTGTTGTGTGGCTCGGGCTCTGCGCACTTCGGTGGTGCTGGCTGGCTGTCTTGGCTCTCCGTGCGGTTTGTTCGTGCTGGGTTAGTTAACGTTAGTTATCATCTAATGTTGGCTTGAATGGTAGCCGGCTTACAGCTGCAGAACACAGCTATCTATAGTAGCTAACGTTGGCTGGCGTGGGTTTTGGCTGCTGGCCTGCCGCGGGCGGGCTGCGCGGGGGGCTGGGGTGGTTGGCTGGCGCCACCGGGGTGCGCGGAGCTCGGGCTGCGCGGCGCGCTGCACGGGCATGAGATTGATTTGGCCAGCGTTGGTGTTAGCTAGATCTAGCAGCTGTGCACTTTGGTGGTGCTAGGCTAACCAACGCATCTTAGCTCTCTGTCTGAAACGAAGGCACCGCTTTGCCACTCGCGAAGGAGACAACAACAAGCAAACGGTAGCAAGAAGATTGCAGTAGCTTTTAACGTTATCTGTTTAACGTTAGCTAACTCACGTTAATCGTCCAATTAGTCGTTAGATTAGTCGACTAATCGATAAAATAATCGCCCGATTAATCGTTTAAGAAATAATCGTTTACCCCCAGCCCTACTGCACATGTGTTCAGGATCCCATATTCCTACACAGCACATACGGATGGAAATAAAGATATACTGAGGGCAAGGTTCCAGCACACGGCTCTGTGACTCTAATTTTTTCCTGTCCTCTACACGGCTTTATGCCCAACTAGGACCATTTCAAAATGTTTTACCCACCCAATTTTGTTGATTTGCTCTTACTTTATTAATTTGGTCCTTTTTCCTTGATTTATGTGTTTTCAAAATTGGTAAGTCAGTCCTTCTGGATTTGGCAGGCTTTCTGGGGATTGTTGCGGCCTTAAATTCCTGATTTCATGGCCATTTCAGCTTTTTCTTAATAATTGTGATGCATGTTGCAATGTTTTCAGGCATTTTTTGTGATGAAATTGTGGGAGAAAGTGAAAATTACAAAAACATAGTTAGTAGGCTCGGATTGGTGAAACTCCTGGGAGACTACAATGATCAGTCAGATTCGCGAAGGAATTCACAGGGGTTGGTTGAATGAGTTAGTTGTTGCGATTGAAACTTTGCAACTTCCTATGGGGATTAGTAGTAAGTAGTCTACAGGGTTTCTTTTGTTGTCCATTTTTACCAGTGACCAGATTCTGTGTCCAACTTCCTGCCCAGCTCCGTCTGCTCTGTGCAGATGGAGCCAGCCGTGTATAACCAAGAGATGTTCTCTCACCAAAAGAAGGCTACCAGTAGGCTACTAGTGTATATTGATTCATATGTAAAAAGGTTTCACTTGTTTTCTGAGATTTATATATTGTCATTGTTTCTTGTTTTATTGATAATGTTGGATTGTAAATTGTTGTTTGCTTTTACCATTTCTGTCTTTGGGTGGACCCCAGGAAGACTCATGGCTATAGCTAATGGGGATTCAATGTAAAAAATAAAAGGCTAAAATTACTAGAAATAGGTGGATCACTATCTAGACAGTTAAATAACACTGAGGAAATAAGTTATTGGAGTGAAGGTTGGGTGGATAGATAGATGTAGATTAACAGTGAAGACTGTGAAACCTGTCATCAGAACCTCT